GGGGGGGGCGGGAAATGTGTGTGGGAAGGGAGCGGGAAGGGATGGTAATGCTACCTCATTAAAAATAGATGATGTTTGTTTTATGATGTTCGTGTGGTATCTGCGGCTTGGTTTCTGCCCACAGGCTTACATGCAGCCCCACTTGCTGGGAAATGAGTTCACACATTTAGAGTTTCCACGGAGGGTGCAGCGCAAGGAAGTTGGAAAGAGGATGCTCTACCGTGACTTCAACATGACTGGCTGGTAAGAATGTGTCCTTCTCAGCATGGGGTCAGCCTTCTCCCCAACCAATGCCTGCTTTGTACGTGTCTTTGATTAGTGTAAACTGCATCAAACATCGAGGTATACGCCTGCATACTAAAGGGAAAGGTATTTCCTTCTTTCAGATGTATTTTTCTTTTAGAAGTTAACATTTTAAATAAGTTGACCTCCCTCCGGAGCCAGGACCTCAGTTCATTTTAACATGCGAGCACTCAAAGCGGAGCAAACACATAAAGGGGAAGACGTGCCAGGGGATCTTCCTGAAAGCTAAACAACTTTCCTGTCTTAGAAGTAGCTTTTTATAGAATCTGGATCAGTCGGCCGTCATGCCATTGCATGCAGAGGAACGCTTGCAGAAGGAAAGAGCTGTCTCCCATACTCCAGGGCAACTGACCCCTGATTTGGGTAACCCTTGAGGAATTGTTTTAGAGATGGGCCTATCTGAATAAAAGTCATAGCCAGCCTAAAATGAAAAGGCGTGAATGAACAGCATTGACTTAATGAAGTGAAGACAGGAAGAGCGATGAGTTTTTTGTCTCTGGCTAAATGTCTTCATTGTTTTGTGTCGGTTCAAGAGGCTCCTTCTCAAGTGACTCCCACTCACTTAGAGAAGCCCTAGTCCTTGCTGTTGTGGGCTCTGTGTGTGATCTATAAAAGCAAAGGTCCTATATATGAAAACGGTCTTCACTTCCATGCTGTTTGTGTTTTAGCATCCTCAGCAAATGTCCTTTCAGGAAGGGAAAGAATGGAGAGGGTTAAAAAGCCTGAACTCTTGTAGGTTTGGAAACTTGGATGCTCACACGCAGCTACAACTCCACATGCTTCTGATTTGTCCCATGCTTTATAGACCATAAATATAATGATGTTTTAATGGCAGAATAATGATCTAAGTTTAATATTTTCTGGAGTGTTTGTGCAGAACATGTTAATCTGGGAGTAACCATCATTGTCCATCATCTTGAACAGCTGCTAGTAGAATATGCAGTCTCACCCTGAGAATGATGACTTCACATTTTAAAAAGGCTACAGGCATGAGCAAAAGAATAGGAACAGAATGAGAACATTGGATCAACTGAGGACTTAATCAGTAAAACATTTGGAAGATCATGAGATGCTCTCCCAGTTTCTGCAAAGGGAGTTTTCTTATTAAACTCCCAGATATCTCTGAAGGCATCAGTAAAGAACGGCTTCATGTAGACTTCCAAAAGCTCTTTTTCAAGATGTGAGATGCTATTGGGGAGGAGAGGGGGGGAACTTCTAATTTGGCGGAGAGCTACAGAAGTATCATGGGCCAAGAACTTCCTGAGAGGAGGGTAAGAGCAGAATTCTTTCATCATGGTTGGAAGGCAAAGAGGCTTCCTCCAGGTTCGTGGGAGTTGTTTTGCATTTCCCCAGTTGGTTAGTGGTCTGAAAAGGAAATTAGGTTAGAATGGTTGAAGTTGCAGCATTGGCAGGTGACGCGACAGGTCTTTTCCTAATAAACAAGAAGGGCCATGAGGAACTGCAAAGAATTAAGTGATTTACATGAATGGGCATCACAGTGATCAAATTTGATGTTGATAAATATCAAGTAAAGCATGAAGAGGGAAAATAACTATTTGTGCACACTAGAGGTTCCAAATGAACTTGAGAGCCATGTCAAAAAGCTCAGTGGAAGTTCGGCTTACTGTGATTTTTCCAGTCAAAACTGCCAGTGGAATGTTGGGATGTATACAGGGTTGGAACGGTTAAAAATTAAATGAAGAGATAATTCTGTATATCAGTTTGTACCTCAGTTTGTGAATCTGTGCATAGCACTTCACCTTATTCTAAATGGTTATTGCATAGCTAATACTGTTTGGCATTAGAAGAAAGATAAATAAGAAGGAACGCAAATTTTAAATGTAGAGTAATGAGTAAGGTAGAAGAGCTTGGGTAAGTCTAAACGGATGGCAGATTTGATTTAATGTATTGTTTTTTAGTACTGGTGTGTGAACTCTGTTAACTCTAGCATATGGCAGGGGGGAGGAGAGAGTTGATTTTTCTGTTGATTTTTCAGAATTTCCTGAAGTGTAGGACACATGTTGATCCAGTTACAGATTCTGATATGGTCAATGCAAAAATTACCACCAATTTAGCACAAATATGCCTAGCTGTGAGCAGTTATTCCAGAATAAATACTTAAACTGTGACTTGAAAATTCAAGTCTGAATTCACCTCAGTGTTGTCCCAGAAAGGGGTGGCCTGTGCCAAGCAAAAGCATGTGGAGACTGTGATGAGGCTGCTTCTCCCTGCTGTTCCTTTTGACTTCTGGCTGGAAGTGGAAAATGGGGGCTACGTTTTTGTTCTCAATAAAAAAATCAGAATCTTTTATCTGCTCTGTATCCCACAGCTAGTGCAGCAGTTACCTCTTTGTTTGCCTCAGGACAATAAAATGGTGAGGGAATTGCTCTATCGCCATACATTTATCTAAATCAGAGCCCTTCTAAATAAGGATCCATTTCTTTTTGCAGGGTGATTGCCCAAGGGAGTCTTGTTTTCCATCAAATTGTGTGCAGTGATCTCCTAAGTAGAGGAGAAGCAATCTGTTTCTATTTATCCAAAAGTCTGGGTCAATATTAATGGTTGAGATTGTGGACAAGACGTTAGATTTCCAGCGTGGAGGGCACTCAGAGGCGATGGTTTGAGGTGGCTGGTGTTTCACTGTGGTCGTTTTCCACTTCAAGGGTTTTGCTTCTATTTTCTTCCCTTTGTAATTCCTAGATTTAACTGATGCATCAGGACACAGCGGCCGAGGACATGTCTGTTCTGTATTTGTTTCTAAGGACAATATCTATCATGGAGAATAAATTAGCATATATATTCCTTTTCTAGAAAATGTCAGATGGAGCTTTGGCCAGCCAGAGCTTGATACACTAAAACGCTGCCAAACTTTTATCACTTACAATGCAGAAGATCAATTGTCTGAATCTTTTTTTGGTCAGTGACTTCACTGTGTGTAGACATTTGCACGTAAATGTAGAGAGGTACAGGTGATGTTGGGAAGAAACAGCCACTTTTACACTTAATTACTGACTCCTTTAGTGAGAGGGTGTAAAACTCTCTGCTCTGATGTTTCCTCAGGAAAATGAACTGGTTTATTTTAAAATTCAGGACGTTTTCTGTGTTTTCTATAGAAAGCTGTATGATTTTTTTTTTTTTTTTTTTTTCCCCCCTTCGTTTTTACCCTTCTCCTGTGCTCTGGAGCTTTTCAGATTCTTAACAATGGCTTGGCTTGCCCAGCTTGTTTGGATTACAAAAGGTTATTGTCTTTGGGTCTGTCATAATGCATTTGGCCTCTTTTTTTGCTTTTTGCTTTTTCTTTCTTTTTTTCTTTTTTCATGTGAAGTTTCCACACTGGCTTTGTCTCAACAGCCCACAGTGGTAGCAGAGCTGCCAAGTTTCCCCACAGCATTAGGACAACCACCGATCCAGCAATGTGTACCGCATCGCTAGTCCAGGCTGCCTGTAACTGCTTTGAGACCAGCCTTTCCCCTCTCCCTCCGGCTCTCCCACCCTTTCTCCTTTCTCAGCGTTGGCAGTTGGGATGAGAGATCCGCTGTGTTAAATGTATCGAAGGATAAATCCCACTTAGGCGGGAGCTGACTGTGAGTTGCCCCTCCTGCACCCTTGCCCCACGTGTGTTGTGGTTGAGCAACCATTGCAAAACGCGTACTGTAGCTGGCGAGGCGTCTTAAGAGCTGTGTCTCTTTTTTAACAACCGTCAGAGCTGTCTGGAGCCGTAATTTGCTGGCAGACATCTGTGTTACTGACAGTCTTTCACAGCTGGGTCTCTGGGCTGGGGTTTTCAGGCCCATGGCTTGCAGAGGTTAAACTTCTGTATCGGAGAAAGGGTAGTTCTGGTGGCTTTGACAAGTCCTGGCAACAGAAGCATCCGGGAAGACTTGGTGGCCACGTAAGGAAAGCGTTGCCAGGGTTAAAAGGGATAGCCCAAGATAGAAATGTATGGGGGGGGCGGGGGGAAGCAGGCCTGATGATAACTGCTCCTTTAAAGGACTGCACAGAACTAGTATTCTCTGTCCTTGCCTTTTACTTAAAAGTTAAGACACGGCTGGTCAGGTTTTCTTTACTCGTGGGTAAATCCAGTGTGAACAATTTTGAAGTACTTTGCTCTGACTATGTACTAGACACCTTCCCTGGCTTCCTGGCTTACTGTGTCCCTCACCGGCACAGCGGCTCCTGCCAGGGTTCCCCTCCCGGCCTCCCACGGGGCCCGAGGAGCCGGACAGCGCTGCGCTTAACCAGAGGCATCCGGAAGGCACCACCAGCTGGCATCAGCTCTTCCGGTTTCAAAATTAATGTTTTGTTCTTCCTTGAAACGCAAACAGTGGCCTTTCTGCTGCTCGCGTTGAAGTGGAGTTCTTTAAATGCTTTTTTCCGGATCAGAGCTTTAGCTTTTTGACTTGATTTTTAGGGTGGCAAAAGGGCCTTAGATAACAAGTCCATTTTTGGATCTGATTTGTTGGCGGCTTCCTTTGCTCTCCAGGAGCGCTCAGAGCTGAGCTGCAGCCCGTCAAAAGCGGTCCGAGCTGGCGCGGTACCCCCCACGCGTGATGGGCTGCAGCCCACGGCAGCAGCGCGCGGGGGAACTGGGCGCCTCTGAGCCCTCGCCAGCTCCGTGTCCGTGTGTCTGGCGAGGGGCTGCTGTGGCACATGGTTAGTCACCCCAGGGTCAGCCCGTGCCGGGGAATCGCCTGCCCGCGTGATTTATTCCAAAGCAGGGAGGCTGGTGCCCTGGGGCGAGCGCTAAGCAAAACCCATTTTATTCTAGAGTCAATATTGTCCACTGCCTGGAAAGCCGCCAGCCTGCTCTGCGCTCGCCCTTTTCTTTCCGACAGGGAATGTCTTTCAGCCTCTAAGCATCTGATTAAAAAAGCAACTTCACTTTTCAAGCCGTTTTATTTTGTTTGGGATGGATGCCTTTTGCTTTCATTGTGCAGCCC